GAAACTGGGGTAACCGTCCCTCAGAGAAAATCCTAAAACCAGAGACAGAATGAGGAAGATGAAGTCGTGAAAGGATAAGGAAACAGAAAAGGATCTGTAGAGTGAGGAACAAATCGGTGATCCAGGGGTATTTAAAGCTAACAGTACCGTGGGCCTCAAAACGGGCAACATGCGCAAGGAACGAGGAAGAAAATGATTACTAACAACTGCTTTAAAATTAAAATAATAATAATAATAATAAATATATATATATATTCCTGCATAAACTGATTGAGAAGCCATTATTGTTACATCCTAAGTTCAGCCCTTGCCCGAGCCAGCTCAACCAAGAGATGGGGGGCAACTGATGATACTCAAAATGATTCCTGAGCATAAGCTCGGGAACAGAGGTCAAACATGGAGGTCAAACATGGGGAACAGGTATGTTGAGCTCAGAAAGTCAGAGCTATGCAAAGCTCAGAAAATCAGAGCTAGAGCTCCCCTCAAGCGAGATAATAAACTGAAGTAGTAAAGAAGCAACTGGTTACTGCAAAGAACTCGTCAGACGGTTTGAAATAACACTCAAGGCACAAAATCTTCGATCAACCAAGATACTCTCCTAAGATCAAGGAAAATTCCTCGGATAAATGACAAGGATCACAGATCAGATCCCATAGATTAAGGGATACCCCTATAAATACTATGTAACACCCCCAACAGAGGAGCAAGAACCCTAGTATCACATCTTACATTCTGTAAACCTTTCGGTATAGTAAATAATGAAGGAAGGAACAAGAATCTCCATTGAAGAGTGGATTAGCCGAGCTCTCGAGCTGGTGAACCACTATATTTCTACTGCGTTAATCCCCCAACTCCCCAACAATTCTCAGTATCATTCCCTCATGCCAAGTAGCTCAGATCCCAATAATTGCAATATTGTTTCGTTCATTTACTCGTCATCACAAAATTGCATCACATTAAAATACACCATCACATTCCAATACAAAAATGTGATAGTCTATGAGACTGGACATTTGAATCAAACAAATCCCCCAGTTATACCACCACCAACAACCCACCATATGTAGACAACAACACTCCACAAATTAGACTAGATTTGAAGTGAAATCGGATCTAAAGTGAGACATGAGATAACGAGGCCGGATAGATCATATCCAAAGGAGAAATTTTTGAGGTTGAAAAACCTAACCCTAGACCGCACAATCTTGGTCTTCATCTCCAGAAATTTAGGATTTTGACGCTCAAAAAAGCCGGTTCAAATAGAGAGATTCAATAAGAAATTCCCCCCGTGTGTAATCCCACTTCCAAAGACAAGAGAGCTGCCAAGTTGTGCATTTTTTCATAAAGTCAAGAAGTCTCCCTTCACTTTGTTTCTTGGTTCTCTTTACCTTGGTGCCTATAGAGTGAGTTCGTTTATGGTAATAAGTCTTGCTCTACTAGCTCGCCAAGTGAGTTTGTAGGGTAAAATGTTCTTTTTTTTTATTTAAATTGTTAACACTAACCAATTTTTAATGGGAAAAATATCAATAAGTCTTATTTTTCAGAACAATTAAGTCCTACCATATTTACTTTAGCACTCAATTAAAGTAGTGATTGATAAAATTGAAAGTTGAAGTCTGAAAGTTGAAAACTGAATGTCGAATTTGTGGACTGTTTGGTATTCACTGAAATTTAAGTATTTAATTGAACTAAACTGTTTGATNTATTTAAATTGTTAACACTAACCAATTTTTAATGGGAAAAAATATCAATAAGTCTTATTTTTCAGAACAATTAAGTCCTACCATATTTACTTTAGCACTCAATTAAGGTAGTGATTGATAAAACTGAAAGTTGAAGTCTGAAAGTTGAAAACTGAATGTCGAATTTATGGACTGTTTGGTATTCACTGAAATTTAAGTATTTAATTGAACTAAACTGTTTGATAATTACACAGAGCTAACATCTAAAAATAAATTAATTTTCAGTTTTACCCTTCCACTCTTTAATTTAAAAATATTTATAAAATAAATCATAATCATTATTATTATATTGTAGTCCACATTTAACAAATATTTGATCAAAATAAATAAATAAATAATATCTGAATAACACAATAACAAATTGAAAAACATAATAAGTGAATAATAACATCTGATATAAAAAAGAACAATAACTAATAAATAATCAAATAATATTGAAAAAATACAATAAGTTAGATTTCATTAACAATATGTGTGTGTGTGTGTGTGNTAAATCATAATCATTATTATTATATTGTAGTCCACATTTAACAAATATTTGATCAAAATAAATAAATAAATAATATCTAAATAACACAATAACAAATTGAAAAACATAATAAGTGAATAATAACATCTGATATAAAAAAGAACAATAACTAATAAATAATCAAATAATATTGAAAAAATACAATAAGTTAGATTTCATTAACAATATGTGTGTGTGTGTGTGTGCAATCCATGTGTGTAAGTATGTGTGTGTGCAGTGCATATGTCTGTGTGTAATTATGTGTGTGCAATGTTTACAGTGCGTGCGTCTGTGTGTATAATTATAATTATGTATGTATATTTTTATTACAGAAGACAAGGAAAAGAAAAAAAAAAAGATCGACAAAGAGAATATATAGATTGGAGGTTTTAGAGAGAAGATTAATTAGAATTTTAATAGAATTGTAAAATATTTTGGAGTATAATTGTCATATTGTAAATATTATTAAAGATAGTTTTACTGAGTGCNTTAATTAGAATTTTAATAGAATTGTAAAATATTTTGGAGTATAATTGTCATATTGTAAATATTATTAAAGATAGTTTTACTGAGTGCTTTTAGCTTTCAGAATTAAGTAAAGGATCTCCTACTTAATATTATAGTCTATTTTTAAGGAGCACTTAACATATTAAAAGAGTTTAAATTTTGGTTATCAAATGAGCTTAATTAATAAGTGCTGAATACATTCATTTTAAGTGCTGAATTTGAATTAACAAACAGACCCTAAGTCTTACTTTTGATAATTTATTTCCAAGAAGTCCTATACTCTATCAATGGTTAATGGTTTGTTTTGTTCCAATTTTATCCTTCCCATGAAAACATAAATTATATTTTTTATATAATTTTATATTCAATTATATTTATTGAAATATGATTTGTTTTTTTATCTTAAATTTAAATCCAAGTAAGCTTTACTTTTAATTATCAAATCATCTACCCTATTGACATGCCTTTTATACCTTAAAACAATAATTCTTTTTTAATTAATTAAAAATGTGAAAGGGGAAGTATAAAAAAATATAATTACATGAACTTTTCTAGATGATTATATTCATATATTAGTTTTTATATTGTTAATTTGTATAATTATAAATCTTTATGATTGAGATTTGATAGTCAAGTGAGTCAAAATTTATATGTTTGAAAAAGTCAAATATTAAAAAAATAGAGTTTGTATGATTTATCATTTCTATAAGTATGTATTGTTAATTACGTATTTTGGGTGTTATGCACTAATTAAAAAAATAATAATTTATTTTGGGTCTTAATAATAAATATTGATGTGTTGATCGAAAGGACAAAATTAGAAGAAAACATATTATCGATAGAGTATAGAATTTTTTGAGAATAAAGTATCAAAAATAAGACTTAATTGCCCCCAAGGTAAGCATGGTAACACTTAATGGTTCTTCAAGANATAAAGTATCAAAAATAAGACTTAATTGCCCCCAAGGTAAGCATGGTAACACTTAATGGTTCTTCAAGAGGAACAATAAGAGTTATCAGGAATTTCCCCTTTTTTAATGTCGATTGGAGTCTTTATATCTTTTTTTGAAATATCAAAGAGTCTCTATTGCTCCGTTTGGTAGGAATAGGAAAGAGGAAAAGTATGAGAAATATAATTTATATCCTTCAAAACTAGAAAGTAAGAATGTATCACTTTCTTTTTTTTGTGTTTGGTTGGATGGATGAAAAATAACAATGACTAATTTTTATTTTTTTTTGTGCTGGTTAAGATTAGGGATAACAATCGAGTTGTGTCATATCAAATTCGTATTGAATCATAAAATTATGATTCTTATATATTTCTTATTCTCGTATCAAGTCATTTTTAAGTTCGTGTCGAATTATAATCAAGTTTGTGCCATAAAATTTGTGTCGAGTTCGAGTTCGAGTCGTGTCATCATGTTGAGTCGAAAATTTTCATCCTGCTCAAGATGAAAAAAATATTTTTTAATTTAAATTTTTTATTTTTTATTTTTATTTTGTATTTTGTATTTTTTATTTTAAAATTTGTATATATATATATATATATATATATATATATTATATCATTGTATTTTTATATAAAATTAATGTATATATAATATATAAATAAATAAGATATATCTCAACACAAAAAATTAACTTTTCATCTACTTTTCATCCGATTTTAGAGAAATTGATTTTAATGAGTTGAAAGAAAAGCTAATTCATCCACATTTTTATCCTTCCTATTTTTCTTCCTTATTAAACATAATATTTTATTTAACTATTTAACTTTTTATCCTTCCATTTTTTCATTATACAAAACAGAACATATGTGATTGATCAAATGTTAGAGGGTCTCGGAGAAATTTACCCAAGAATAATTCTATACTGACCAGATTTTGGGACTGAAATTTAGTCGGCATAGAATTATTATTTATCCAAAATAAGGATAATTATACGATAGTAATAAAAAGCAAATACAAGTCCAGTCCAGTAAATTAACGACACGTTTCTCCAAACTCCATACGAGGTGACGTGGCAAACAAACTGTTCTATATTAATAACGAAATTCCAACCGATCAAGAACTTGGACATTTTTCCATCCAGGTTCATCTCATCCATGGATCGAATACACGAGCTTCTCTCTCCTCGATGACTCTGCCATTGGAAGCCTCCAGCTGAAATCTTCTCATACCAGAGCCAATATAGAGAGAGAAACATCCATACCCATTTCAATATAGAGAGAGGGAGAGAAGGAAATGAAGGGGAGCGCTATGAAGAATGGCTGCCCATGGAAAGTCGAGAAACAAGAGCCTTACCATGTCATTCACAAGCTTCCTCCTGGTGATAGTCCGTATGTTAGAGCCAAACATGTTCAGGTATGTGTGTGTTTGTGTGAGTTTAACCATTTCTTTGTAAATGATCTCCCATATTCTGATTTTTCCATTGCACTTACGTTTCCTTGGTTCCCAAAAATAAAATTCTATGAAGAAATGCTTGGTTTAAGTTTTTTATTATGGATTTCTGGATTTTATCTTTAATAGAATACTGAGATCTTATGGAATATATTAAGTTCAAAAAAGGAAAAACCAAATTAAGTAAAAAAATTATAAAATGTTAATTTGGTGGACCCTTTATAAATTTATTGGAGTCATGAACTTGTGTTAGATTGGTGGGTCAATCTTGGGATTCCAAATCTGATATGAGGTTACTGCAAAGTTTTGATTTGTGTTTGTTTTGGTTGGGGGTTGCACTGAGTTGACTCGTCCGACCGAGTCACTGTGTGTGGTTCAAGGAGGCCGTTTTTCCGGATCCATTTGTTTCAGGTTGACATTTTCCCCGGGGGGGTCACTGAGCTGAGTCATGTCTGAATCGTCCGACCGAGTCACTGTGTGTGGTTCAAGGAGGCCGTTTTTTCCGGATCCATTTGTTTCAGGTTGACATTTCTCTTTCTATTGTTGACAAGTTGTGTTCAAGTTGACAATAGTATAAATTGGTTGTTGGTATAGTTTTTTTGGGAAAGGCGCACCTAACCGAAAATTATAACTTTTGTAAAATTTAACATAATTTTTTTTTAGATGTAAGTTACTGAGAGGTCATGATTAATCGTGGGTATCTGTGATCGATTATAACCTATCTTAAACAATTATAATTTCTCTTTTTAAAATTATAATTTTACTATAAAAAATGATAACCGAGGATACGGTACCAAAAAAAAAAATTTCTAGTACCATGGACTTTCCCTAGTTTTTCAAATGCCATTGACTTGGTGGAAGTACTCGCCACCCAAATATTTTAAAGCACTCTGTGGATCCAAAACTCACTCCCAACATTTTTTTCACAATTCTACTTGATAGATTATTCATTGTGCATTGTGTGGACCCCTTTTATTTATCAGGTTCTACTTGAATTTAATCAACCATTAAGGATAAAGATCGAGAAAAAGTGTACTGAAGATGATCTAAATCCCACTATAGTTGCTAAAATTGGACTTGGTATTCTGTTCAATAGTAATTCCCTACTTATCTTTCATCTATTATGAAGCCAACTTTTTTTCCTTGGTCTTTTGTTCCGTCATATTCCTAATAACTTATCCAATTACAACGTATTAGCTACTAATATACCTTTCTTTTATCAAATCTCAAAGGTGTGGTCTAATCATGAGGGTAGTCTTTCATCATGGTGTCGAATCCCAAGTCTAAGACTCAATCAATGCAAGATTGATGATCTGGAGTTGAGGTATTTAAAATTATCTAGTGGAGCAGATCCTTGTGTAGGGTGGATGATCTAGATTTGAGGCAATCAAGGAAATTTAGCACTAGAGGCATCATAATACAATAAAAAAGGGCTTACCAAGGAATTAGAAACACAGATTGTAACCATAATGACAGCTCACTGTGTTGTTACCATATATTTTTATATCAAGTATGTTTAACCCCACCATATTATCCAAATTACTTGCTAAAAATTTTTTGTCCAAGTGAGACTCCAAGTTGGTTTTGGTTATTTGAAGTTTCGCAACTATGTTTTGCATTAAAAGCATCCTTATTTTGTGTGATTTTAGGGTTGGACAACTTTTCCACATTCACTCAGATAATTTAATACTTTTTTTTTATCTATTAATAAAACTTTTGTTTATTAAAAAACTGATTAATGGTTTGCGGTGTCCGGATTAGCTTATACACAGCTCGACTAATCCTCTCCTCGGTCTGATCGAAGGCAGGTCATCCATGCCGGAATTAGGATATTCATGAGAGATAAATTTATCACGAGAGTCCATGCACTAGGATCCTAATACAAACATTTTTTAGTAGCATTTGTTTTTTGTTGGTCCTATTGATATAAGATTTCCCACTCCCTATTTTGTCCTTATCTTGCTCAACAAAAGGACTAAAGGAACCTATTTCACTACCATTGTCTCCATCTACAGTTTGAATTCACAATCTTATTCTTAAAAGAATAGAACCCAAGGCACCAAATAACTTAACTTGGTATGGACAAAGCACGAAATGAAAGATTATTTATCTACGGCAATGTTAATTGGATAATAATTTTCGAGCGACTAACTTACTTGAGAGAAGATTGATCAGCTTACTTTGAAAATGGCTTNTTATTAAAAAACTGATTAATGGTTTGCGGTGTCCGGATTAGCTTATACACAGCTCGACTAATCCTCTCCTCGGTCTGATCGAAAGCAGGTCATCCATGCCGGAATTAGGATATTCATGAGGGATAAATTTATCACGAGAGTCCATGCACTAGGATCCTAATACAAACATTTTTTAGTAGCATTTGTTTTTTGTTGGTCCTATTGATATAAGATTTCCCACTCCCTATTTTGTCCTTATCTTGCTCAACAAAAGGACTAAAGGAACCTATTTCACTACCATTGTCTCCATCTACAGTTTGAATTCACAATCTTATTCTTAAAAGAATAGAACCCAAGGCACCAAATAACTTAACTTGGTATGGACAAAGCACGAAATGAAAGATTCTTTATCTACGGCAATGTTAATTGGATAATAATTTTCGAGCGACTAACTTACTTGAGAGAAGACTGATCAGCTTACTTTGAAAATGGCTCGAGAGAGAGGGGTCCGAACCTCTTCCTGTGCCTGATCGATGGCTTTCTAGAAGAGATTGTTTTCAAGACCAGAGGCACATATGAGAGTTTCAAGGGCAATGGACCATGTTGGCACTAAACACATTTTGTCCACACACATGCACACCTAAACTATATGTGTCAACACTAAGATTTGAACCATTCGTTACCTCTCCTTTTCCAATCCATGCCACCCGTGTTCAAGGATCAAAATGTCGTGTCGACACGTCCGAAACGTTTCGGAATTTCAACACTCCGAAACGAAACAGTANGCCCGTGTTATACCAATTTAGCTTTATATATTAAGTACTTTTAAGGGAAAATGTGTGTTGGAACATCCCATGTGATGGAAATGCCTGGCTTGATTCATTTTCCTCTCTGCATAGATTTATATGAATGTAGTTATTTCAGACTCTGAGAAATGTATCAACTCCTGTAATTTGGTCACCGTGTATCTGCAATTTCTAGTTATTGATTTTTCATTGCTTGCTTTGTATGTTTCCCCAGTTAGTTCAGAAAGACCCAGAAGCAGCGATAGTTTTGTTTTGGAAGGCGATAAATGCTGGTGATAGAGTAGACAGTGCACTCAAAGACATGGCAATAGTATTGAAACAACTAGATAGGACTGAAGAAGCAATTGAAGCTGTTAAGTCCTTCAGAGACCGCTGTTCCAAACAAGCACAGGAATCACTAGACAATGTCCTCATTGACTTATACAAGGTACAGATGCTGCCAGTGACCATATTTAAAACGTCTCTCTTTTTCTAAGTGTTTGTTTTTAACACCTGGACAAGGTAAAACTTCAAAGGATTTGAGGGAACGACAGCCATAATATGACCTTGTTGCAGTAACAAGTGCATCTTTAACTACTGAATTGGCTGTCTGATACTTCACTTGCTACTTTGATGTGAAAGACAATCAGAATAACCATAGATGCCCAAACAATTGTTAACTTATGCACTCTCTTGAGAAAGGTTAAATGCCTTTCAAGTCATTGTGTTTATTTCTATTGGTTCTTTTCATGGGCTATGGCAACAAATTCCTGTCATAAGCTTTTAACCATGATAACATCAAAAAGAAGTTCACCGAGTACGTGGTTTACTAAGTATTTTTAGCGTACCAGTTCAGTTGCTCTGAAGATGGATGAAAGAGATAAAAACTCAAAACTTACAGCTACACAGGGCTAATGCTACTAACGACGTAGTCTTCAAATCTTCTGTTATTTTCATCCATCTTCTGAGTAACCAAATGAAATTCTTCCTTGCCCCCCTTCTAAAACCTTTCTAGAGTATAAGGGAAGCTCGAAGAGCTTTCTTCGCTTAGCAAGGTTGCTCGCGCACATTAATATTCTATTCATATCGTATTGGGAAGGGACCAAGCCCAAATTCAGAAATAAGTTGACAGACAGAAACTTGGATGCTGTCATTCCTAAAGAAACAGATCGCTAATTTTTGGCACGAATGCAATATTTTAATGAAAATAAACATGGTTAACATTGTTTTCTTGAATCTTTCTGGTAACCATGTTACCTTGTGGAATTCACAAACAACATTATTTCTGTATAATTCTACTCTCACAAATATTTGTGATGGATTCGACAGAAATGTGGGAGATTAGAGGAGCAGATTGAACTGCTGAAGCAGAAGCTTCGGATGATTAACCAAGGAGAAGCATTCAACGGAAAGGCTACAAAGACAGCTCGCTCCCATGGAAAGAAGTTCCAAGTCACCATCAAGCAAGAGACCTCCAGGATACTGGTAATTAATTACTTGTTTTTTGGGTCCATGATAATCAATTACTTCAAGAACTTCTTCATGCTAGTTTAGCATTCGTAGTCCAGACTGGTGATAATTTTGTAAGGTATGCCCTTTAAGCAAGCTTGAAGCCAAAGAGAGTGAAAAATAAGCCTATTAAAAATCAGAGAAGTTATTTCCTGATTCAGAGTTAGTTGTCTCTTAAGTTCAGTGCCTGTTTCACCACTGTAGTCAAATTGTTCTAAATGTTCCTTCCTATTTGAATGTAATGCAGGGAAATTTGGGTTGGGCCTACATGCAGCAGACAAACTTTGCAGCTGCTGAGGTTGTATATCATAAAGCTCAGCAGATAGACCCTGATGCTAATAAGGCCTGCAACCTGTGCCTGTGCTTGATCAAGCAAACTCAATATGCTGAGGCAAGGTCAGTTCTTGAAGACATATTCCAAGGTAAGCTTTCAGGATCTGATGACCCAAAAACGAGGAATCGTGCAGATGAACTATTGAAGGAACTAGAGCAATGCCAGTCTACAGCATTATCTACAACCCCTTTGGAATTGAGTTTAGAAGACGCTTTTGTTGAAGGGCTTGACCAGTTGATGAACCATTTGGCCCCATTTAGATCAAGAAGACTACCCATATTTGAAGAAATATCAACATACAGAGATCAATTAGCTTGTTGATCTCTTTTGTTTTTGTTCTTTTTTCATCCAAGTGTGTGAGCCAGTACATACATGTTCATAAAACAAGAGCGTAAGAGAGTTTCTGTTGTGTAAAATATGCATTCAGAGAGGAGTTGCAGGGTAATATAGCCTTTCTAATGGACTAATTTTCAGTTGTGTATAATATGCATTCAGAGAGGTTGTTAATATTGGTCTTTCTAATGTTTTTTTGTGAAGAGGTTAATGCCTGGTCTGGTCATTACCGTGAGGTCCAAAGTCATAGCATTGCACTTAATTCGAGAATTTTTTATTATACCCTTAACAAAGTTTTGTTTTAACGGTCGGCTATAATTTACATCATGTCATTTGTAAATTATAACTTACATCTTCAAAACTTATAACTTGACCTTAAAAAATTATAATTTTTAGTACAATACCGACAACGAATAACTTTTCACTATCCTGATGGTGGATGCTTTAACTTTTACTCGTAATCCTACATAAATGGGTGTAGTGGTGGTTCATATGCCAAAGGGGTCGACAGCCCATGCCATATTCACAAATGCCTTGGTTCTTTTATATTTTTGTTTTTTTGTAAGTTATTTCAATCTCTATTTTTATAAATCGCAATTGATGATTGCTTAGCAGAACAAATTGGCGCAAGTACATTACTCCGTGTTTTTTTTTTAAATATACAATGATGGATTTAATCTACTCTTACGAGAAAGGAAGGAAAAAATGGTAATGTTTCATATAGAGATCAAATTCTAGGTCTTCTGCATTGTAAACGATATAACTTGCTCTTTTTTTTTTTTTTTTTTTTCAACGGTTGAAGTTGTTTAAACTAGTTTACGCACACTCAACTAATTTTTTCTCCGATTTGGTTGAAGACAAATCATCTACACCGGGACTGAAATATTCATGAGAAATAAATTCATTTTCATCCCGCTCTAAATGATTGTCAATAAGAATCTTACTTTCACCATAAAATTCTTTTGACACGGTTTAAGTCCTAAGATGAAATTCTAACCACCCGAACCGACTCTCCTTGATTGTATTTTACTTTCCACTATCCTCATTAAAATCTAATGAAAATTAGCATATGCTTTCCAAATAAGCTTGCAAATCTGACAGTGACACCACAACCACTGCTAGGATGATTACAAGATATTTTTGGTATCACTTGCATTCCATATGAAGTAATTAACAGTGATAAAGCACTGACATCTCTATCAGATAAATAAACTGTCCTTCAACGAACTTGATAGTTGAGTGCAATTGGCCGAGCAGCACATAAAACTACACTAACCAAATTTTTTCACCCATATCCCTATTCCAACTAATGTGGCACCTTATATTCCACATTAGGTAGGTGAGCTTATAAAGCACTTCTCTACTACTGGTTGACAATTTTTTCTAAACAATGTTATCGGGATCTAATTTAAAGACTCAATCAATAACCTAATACATTACAGTCATTATATTAATTGTGAGTTTAATTGTTAGATAGATCTCACTTTTAATCTCACAGTTATAACTAATTACGTCCCCAAATTAATCATTTCTTTTAGATTTGATGCCTCTGCCGGTGACATATTTCGCACGCCAAGAGAATTAAGCTAAAAAGGAAGCAAATTTTTATGACATTTGAAAAAATAAAACTGATCGGATCTGCAAGTATCATACATTACATATGAAATGTCTCAACAATGAAAAAAACAAAAAAAAAAAGCCTGATGAATAAAGAAGTTTTTTCTACAATAATAAGGAATTTCTACAAATCGCCTATACATTGAAATCCAAAATACAAACCCTTCCTGGTCCTACGAGGATAGTAGAAAGGGGAGGTGCAATAAGGAGAGAAACTGGAAGATGGAGTATCATAATGGAAAGGAAAACGAACCCAGCAAGATAGTTCTAATCAAGATGGCAGCAAGAGAATCGATGGAAAGTTCGGTGCAAATTAACACTTGAAGCCACGGCAGACAGACAGAATAATGATGAGAATCAACAAAAGGAGGATACCCAACACAATGAGTTTTACTTTCATATTTTGGAGCCACATCTTCCTCCTCATCTGGGTCCCGTTTTGCCTAAAATCTTGAGCCTGGAGAACACAATCAGATTCAACACACCCCTAAATCAAATCCCAGAAAACTAACCACATCAAACTCTTACAGCATCCAGTACTACAGAGGAAGGTCATTCAAAAAAATAAAATAAATTGAATCAAAGCATCAGCAATATCTCAAACTTCAGTTTGAATATTGTGAAACTTCCCATGTGCAACAGGCAGAAATCAACCAAATAAAGCCGCCTCCAAATTTTATCTAACAGCAATCTCATAGATTCCAGTTGGTTTTTTTCTTTCTTTCTTTCTTTTTTTTTTTT